TCTTTCTCTCTCTTTCTCTCTCTTTCTCTCTCTAAGAAAGTCACAATTTTCACATTTACAGACTTACAACATGGTATAATTGAAAATAATTCGAATACAGTCGAATCATTGTCATTCTTAATATTCACCATTCTTCAGTTATGTTCATGGCTTTAATTCGATCGCTGAGCATTAACAATATCAGTTCAACTTCAAAAAGGTCTTAAGCTTTTCTAAGCTATATTAAAAACTGATGAAGGAAAATTCAACTTATGATGAGCAATATTTTTGATATTATATTTGAATTAATTTGTAAAATGATAGATTTTCACCACAATTTATACCTCAATCTTTAGTGAAAACAGTTGTAAGACTGTAAAAGTCAATAGTTATATATCAAAATTGTCTCAAAGCAAACAACCCTGAGTTAAGATCAAATGATGAATATCGAAGAACGAAAAATGGCCAAAGCTGAAAAATTTTAAACTCTGATTCAGACTTTGACTATCAGTCTCGTATTTAGTGGGAGCTCAAACTCATTTTAGCTTAATGGTAAAAAAATATATTTAAAGGTAGCTTTGATGTATCTTTAATGCATCTATAAGATATTAGATGTTTTATTAAGACTTTGGTAGCTTAGTTTTTGAGTCAGTTTATATGCAATTCATTAATGAAGTCGGCAAAAGCTTCAGAACTGCACGTCTTCTTCCGAAAGGATGTGAAGGAGCCAAAACCAGACACAACACACTGTATAAACGGTTCCTAAAGTATAATGATAATAAAACATTTTGTCGTTAGTGTTTTGAAAGCCATGGAAATTTTTTTCCTTAAACGAAACTATTATCTTAGCTTTAATGACCACTAATTCATTTGGTGCTAGACACTTTGAACAGTTGTTCACACGCGAAAATCGAGTTTGAAAAGACAGAAATCTTTTGTGGGGCAAAACATCCATTGAAAACGAATAATTTTCCTATAAACATACATAAGCAAGTTTTCAATTTTGCGTTTACCTTCATGGAACTATTGTACGTATAATTTTTTCTTGCAAAGTTTAAGATTTTCCCATGTTACGAGTGAAAGTCTCTTAAGAAATTATAGCATCTTGCTTAGAACTTTCTTCATTAAAAAATCATATTCAGTCAGTTTTAAAATTTTGTTACCAACATATCCTTCAAACTTACGATCACAACCTATAGCTAGTAAATCTAGTTAGAGCTAAGAAATTGTTAGAGTATAAGAGAAGGATGTTTTTCAGGCCACGTTTTTGGAGGGAATGTAGTATAGAAACAATATGATCCAGTTCTGCAATTCATGGACTGACCTTGATTCTCAGCTTGTAAAACTTGCACTCCTTTTAGAGCAGAAAAACTTATATTAGCTTTAACACTCAATATCTAGAATGGCTACACCATACTAGGTTAATTCGCTTGCAGTTAATTGCTTCTTTAAGCCATGTTTTCTTCCTTAGATTAGAGTTTTGACTTCAAACGTTCTCCACTGGTTGCATCCCTGTCAGTGCATTTGCAACACATGGACTGATCTCAGTCAGAAAAAGACTTCAGCTGAAATATTACTTGGTGTTAAAGTCAGTTCATTTGTTGTACATATTCTTAAGTTTATAGAGCCTGGAAAATTGATGCAGTGCAATACAATTTGGAAGTTATATTTGTTCAAGAAATCGCCCATGCTTGTTCTTCCTTGAGTCTACTAAAGTAGGTTTAGAATGTGGTTTGTTTTGTTCAATATTCTAAGGCTTTCATCCAATAAACCTTTCACTTTTTAAATACGGTTTTGAATATGATATTTCCCTCTTCAAATACGAGAAAATTTGAGGAACATTTTCACCCATAAGAAGCCAAGCCATTATATAATACTGCACTCACACATGCAAAACTGGCCTAGAAAACTGACTTGAAGAATTGTGTAGAATTTTCTCTTTCAAAATAATCATTAAATAAAAGAGTTACCTGTTTTTTATTCTTAGATAAATGTGTAGATTAAAACAAAGCCCTAGAATTTTTAGCGAGTTTATAATTTTTTTCAGTTAAATCCGCAATCAGTATCTCTATTGATGGAAAGTTCAACTCGGTCCAACATTCAGTTTAACATGGTTACTTTGCTGATTAACTTTCGGTAAGCTTTTAAAGATATTCCTTAGAAACGACACTTTTTAACGCTTAGTTAAGAAGAAATTATAAAGTTAAGAACTAGACTTTTCAAAAAGATATTTTTGGAGGGTTGATAAAGAATGTAAAGGACCAAGAAAACATGAACTGAGCTCGAAGGATTAAAATTCAACTGTATAAGCTGGCAGGCTTAACAGTAAGACATGAGCATTTTAGCCCATTTTCCTTTAATCTGAAGGTCCATTTTCTTAGATATGAAGATATAAAGAAGATATATGAAGATATGAAGATATTTACAGCTATAGTATCGCATAAAAATCTAAAAGCATGTGATTCAAAAGCCAGTTTTTCAGACCTCAAATGTTTAGAAGTTTATAGCTACTTGCAAAAGGAAAGTCAGTCAACTTTTGTGGTGTAATTCAAATTATGTTGCATGTTAAGTTATAATCTAGTAGGATTTCTGGACAACACTTAATACATTAGTTTTTACCTCGAAAGATTTTAAAATCCTTTTGCTGCTAGTTAAGATCTTGAGCAATCAAATAGCAAAGCTAAGTACAGATTGCATACAAGCCATTGGTACGAGTCTTCTTCATTCAACGTGTAAACTTTAGATATAGCCTTCAAACAAAACGTTTAAACGGATCGCTCTTCCAACATTAACTCATGGGGATATTACTTTTTTATTTTTTAAAATATGGAGACTAAATTAATTCTTTTTCTACGCTTTTAGTCCAATTATTTCAGTATATATACAAACTTTTTTTACAAACCTTGTTCAAACGCTGGCTGTATTCAAATACTCGTGGCCCTATCGTACTAACGGTTACGGACTGGGAACTATAGACCACTCCCTATATTAAGTCTTACCTCCAAATTCAAATTGCATCAGCGAGAGAATTTTGAGATGGAAATTTTATGAGAAACATCGCGTCGATAGCTTGCCTCGATCCTCTTTCATGCTGATGGCTTCACAGTCTGCAGGCTTCTTTTGACCTTTGCCACTATCTTCGACAGTTTCGATGCAATTTAATTCCACGGTCTGTCTGTTTTAGTGTCGGGGTTCTGTCTTTGTAATTTCCAATTCAGTCTAATGGAGAGGGGGGAAAACGAAGCAATATATAAAGGAAGACTTTATTTCTTTTTTCGACCTCAATCAGACTAAAAGCAATTTAGCCTGATGCCTTTGTATAACCGGTTGCAAATATAAAACAGTACCCAGTCGTACAGTAGTTAGTCTTATTTTTTTCAGAATTTTTTTTTTATGTGCGAATGAAATTTTTTATAAGGAGTTAATATTGGGCCATAATTGGCCAATTTGCTCAAAAGGCAAATACCGACTTCTAGCTCAAACGAAATTTTTGGATATTTCACATAGATTCTTGAAACAAATAGATAATTTTTCCTTACAGTTTATATAGGTAGAGATCTGCCCGTCAAAAATGATCGCTGTAGCAATTCAGCTCATGTCAGACAAACTACAAATATACACACACAAAATCAAATCCCTTTTAATTTGCGTCCAAGTTGCTTTTTTCAATGCCTTTTTTTCACATAATATTCTACTGTTTCCAAAGGTTTTTTAAAGTTGGACGAACTTAGCTTCTTAAACTAAATCCAAGAATCATTTTGAATTTTTGTTTTCTTCAGAGCGATTAAAATGTAACACAGTACATTGTGAATGAAGTTGCTCAGATCATCGCGAAAATGTGTCTTCAAAATATGTCTTTCAGAGAAAAAGTTGTCAGAACTAACGAAGGATTTATTCAGAGGGTATCGTGATATACGGAAATAATATTCTGAAGGCTTAACAGCTCCCCACGGAGAGTTTGAAAGGATCTTATATTAATCACGCCATCTTTACGACTCTGGTGTCAAATTCAAAAGCTCTTTGCATAAAAACTAGACACTCGACAGACACCAGCGCAAACACCACAAACCTAAAACACCTCTCTTGCAGTTCCAATTTTCTTTAAAACCTAAAAAGATTGGAATTCTATGCTATATAACCTTCAAACCACTTCAATAAACCCTAAAACATGATTTTGAGGTCCAGAAATTTTAAATTTTTGTCTGACTTCGCAATCTTATCAATATCATCCAATTGTACAAAACAAAGCCTGGCTTTCATATTACTAATTCGAACTTAAAAACACAATTTTAAACCACTGGCTCAAAATGTACTTAGCTGGCTTATGCTTATATTTAGAATTTTCTAATATTTTTAAAGGACTTTATTTAAGTCGAGAAATGAAGAAGAAAAATTCATTTTACAAACTGACCAAGCCACATGTAAGGTCTTCAGCACGCGTGGGTAAGAAGACACTTATTGCCGGCACAACTCTATACGTTAAGACACTACAAATTATTCATTGCTGTATTTCAACGCTAATATGTCTAAATCTACGCGCGACGACACATACCTTTTAGAAGAGCAGTTCCAGTCTCGTTATCAGCTCTTTTTATACTCCACATGTTGCGAACATGAAAAACATTGTACTTTGAATAACCAGCCGCCACAGTTGTTTATTCATTGTACATGAAGTACAAATGAAGTACAACTTAAGCAAAGCCATTTATAAGCCTAGATTTTGTGCACTAAATAACATAGACTACTGCCTTTGCAGCTGGTAAAAAAATTCTATGACTTGGAAGAAGAAAAGCTCTAAAACTGAGATCCGGCAGCTCTCATTCCAGCACTAATAAATGTCTGAACGAGCTGCTTAAACTGCCATTCTAGCTCATGGTGTAGCACTGTTGAAATATTTTCAAAGGTAAAAATAAGTTCTGTTTGCTAGCAAAATAATCTTCCCTCTAGCTCGTACAAAACAAAATAGAATTTTTAGAATTATAGAGAAATCATTGTGGTTAGTTAAGACTTTGGTGACAGCTCTGTTAGGAAGATAAAAGAGTTCACAGACTGTTAAAGCTAATCTGAAGAACAAACATGTCGGTTTTAGTGTAAAAAAAAATATTGAAAAGAGCTAACGAAATCGCTTCATAATGGTTCTCTGTGTCTTATCGGTAGTAGCCATCAAATAAAAGCAAAAACTTACCAGTTTGACAAAGGGTTGAAAATCTAGATGTAGGCTCCACAGCTAACAGCTAGCAAGGAAGCTGCCAGAACTCTCCTGTCATAAAATATGTTCAGTATTACCGAATTGAGTCACAATCCGTTAACTTTTTGGTTCCCGACAGATCCATGTCCATGTTAAAATCTTGGAGCAAAAGAAATTTCTCGCTTGTAATCAGATACGATTTTCTTCCTCTGTCTGGGATCTTGACCGCGCTCTGCAAGCTATAAATATATATGTATATATTTATGTATACTGTAGGTACATATTGACAGGTCTTGCAAACAGAGCACTATACTCTACGTATGTCTCGCAACCTTTGAAATATTGCTTTCATAGCTTATCAACTGTATTTTTGTCCATCGAGATTTCTTTGTACATGTTTTATTATGGTCTGATGTCTATACAAAGATTCGTGTCGTGGTCACATGACCTCATAATATGCAAATGAAGAAATCGATTCAACATCAGTCCCTTGGCCAAAACATTCTGCAGAAAAGCCATTAAACTTGAAGGAGTTTTTGATATTTTCGTGCTTTTTACTGCACGCATGGTATAACATGGTAACTTTTCGAGTGCCCAGATAAGAAATCGGATATCGTGATCTAACTTACCTAATTGACCTTAAGTCTATTGTACTGCAGAAAATGATAAATGAATTATGATATCACCTCAATAATTTACAATGAGCCGCAACCCTTCAGCTAAAAGAATTTTTAAATCAACAACAAAATGGCAACCTACTCCTAACAAGACCAAACTTTAGAAGTAAGAATTATGGTTGCCGTGCATTCTGTATATGTGGGCCTATTCTGTGGAATGATCTTCCGCTATATATAAGGAATGAACCATCCAGTGACAGTTTTAAAGAGAAACTTAATGACAGTCTTATTTAATTCATAAGTTAGGTCTTTCTGACGCCTTTTATTACTACTGATATAGAGTTACATTCATATATACATATCCATTTCTCATTATCCATATAGTCTAAGGTTTATGTTAAAGAGCTCATCCCCCCCCCCCCCCCCCCCCCCCCCCCCCAGCTTAGTTTGTCTAGTTATTTGAAATATTTATTCTTTGTGTTCTACTCTCCCACTGTTATTGCTGTATTTTATAATTGTATGTATATATATATATATATTTATATTTATGTTGGTGGGGATAATAATAATAATAATAATAATAATAATAATAATAATAATAATAATAATAATAATAATAATGATAATGATAATGATAATGATAATAATAATAATAATGATGAAAACTTTATTGGGTTTTTGCCAAATACAATCGTAAATCTCGCTACTTATAGGTAATTTACAATTGGCTACTTAATAATGATAATAATAATAATAACAATAATAATAATAATAATAATAATAATAATAATAAACAATTACGTAACCAAGCCCTGCAAAGCGCCTGTTGGCAATCTTTGGTCCTCTAATTCGGCTATTTGAGTTTAACATTTTTCTTCATAGTCATGGAATATTTCATTAATGTTTTTGTTTGTCTTTAATGTCACGCTAGACGTGCAAASTCCCTATCCTATGATCTGAGAATGATTGACAGGTATATGACCATAATTTGGTTTCCAGTCATAATCCTATGATTATTCTAACTAATTGATCCGATTGTAGGTCCATATCTCATAATATAATGAGGCACACTCTTGTTACGAGTGGCCGATTACTTCAGGATTATATTCTCTTTAGTCACGTGACGAGATAAGTATATAAGGGGTCGTGCACGCTTATTTGTCAGACTTTCGCGCACTCTAATCCATAATGCTTTTCTTATAAATTGGGATGCCTGTGGAAAAATACCACAGGGTGCCCAAGCGAACGGGTAAGCTACACAGAAAACTTCTTATCGCTTTATTTATATTTATGTTTGTAATTTTGTATTTGGATTTGTGCCGATTGCATCTATTGGCCACTGTAGATATGTTTATAGACAAACAACCTAAACATGAATGGTGTTTCAAATCTATGTGACTTCATTATGACGTCACATAAAAACAACCTTTTGTTTTAACGAAGAGCCATGGTCGTGGCAGAGGGACAAATCAGCAACAACACGAAAAAAAAAAATACTTTTAATAATATTATATACAGGATTTACACCGTTTTATACTGAAAATGTTTGAAAATCAGACATACCAGAGTCATATCTTGAGAGTATGCAAAGTTAGTTCAAATTCTTGGTTTTTTTTTTCATACTATCTGTCCCCTTAGGAACAAGCTGTGACGTCATAGTGAAAACGGGTATTTCTGAACTAGAACAGTTATGGGGGAGAGGTGGGTGAAATTATGAAATTATTATAATATGTGTTTTTCTCAATCTGTTAGTCAAGTTAGATCACCCTCTGATGCTACTACCACAGGCAACCCATAGATAAAATAAATTATTTTAATTTTAAAATATTTTTCATGATGTCACTTATAATAGTCCCCTTCACGGTTCCCTGCGCCATTTTGAAGGCCGCCTCGCCTTTGCATAGAAGCGAGACAAACGGTGAGCTTGAAATTAAAAGAGACAGTGTGAATAATTGTAGAAGGTGTAAAAAAGTTCTCTATCATTTCAAGCTTACCTTTCGTCTCGCTGCGATGCAAAGGCACGGCTACCTTTCCAGATGGCGGAGGGAACTGTGAAGGGAATATTGTTGTATTGGACTTCAATTGCGTACCTACAGCCCACGTTCGAGAAACGTCGTTTCTCGATGCTGACCAAGAGGAGCGTGAGCTCTGGGTACGAGATTGATTCGACTCCAAAAAAGTTTTGAAAAAAATTGCCATTTTAACCATTATTTGCACAATGACGTCATTTGACTCTCATTGCCAAGATGCTTTGTGAATTTTCTTTCTTATTTGAATTTGTATTCCCTCATGAGAATAGTGAGACAATTGGTGCTAATTAACTGAACAAAAGAAAGTGTGCAAGGGAGTCTGGTAGTAGAGGTCAATAACGCCATAGTGCAAATTAAGGTCAAACCTCAGAAATAATTAGATTTTTTTTCTAATTTTACCTTTTTTTTTCAGTATCGGTYATCCAGCAAAACCTGACAACCAAAGATTGCCATGACGACGTAAGGGAATATTTTCTCACTGACAGATAGAACAACCTTATTTGAAAATAACTTATTGAATTAAAAATAAACGACATTTCACAAATAAAAGCAGAAACTAAGCAAAATTCAAGAAAAATATTTTAATTACTGGGTTGCCTGTGGTAGCCCAGTCTTGAAATGCGCTGCCTGTCTCAGTATTTTCCCGGGTCAGAAATGCCAAAATTGCGCAATAGTACCCAGGGGTCTTCACAGCACTACCCGAGTCCTTTGTGGACATATGATACAGAGATCCCTTGTAAAGTGTCATATATATTCAAGTGCCAATCAGCCAATGCAGGATTAGGAATTACTGGGGTGTATAAACTGACCAAGAAAGTTCAAGATGCGCCGTGTAAAGATCTTTCTATTATTTGTCTACTCAAATTTTGTAATCCAGCTTAGAACTCAAAGCAGTACTCTATACAGAACGAGTCTAAGTTTAAGCTATTTTGATAACGTATCTATTTCACGAAGGACTAGCGT